ACACACACACACACACAACAACACACACACACACAACACACACAACACACACACACACACACACACACACAACACACAACAACACACACACACCACACACACACATACACACACACACACACACACACACACACACACACACACACACACACACACACACAACACAACACACACACACACACAACAACACACAACACACACAACACACACACACACACACACACAACAACACACAACACACACACACACAACACACACACACAACACACACACACACACACACACACACACACACACACACACACACACACACACACACAACACACACACACACACACACTCACACACACAACACACAACACACACAAACACACACACACAACAACACACACTCACACACACACTCACCTCTCGTGCGTCCTCAGGTTCTCCGTGGCTCAGGGCCGAGTAGAGCAGCAGATACTGAGACGCCCCGAGCGCCGCCCCCCACCTCACCCACAGGGAGTCAAAGGACGAAGACGAGACGACGAGGGACGAGGGAGTCTGCAGGGACGCTGCAAGACACAGAGACAGAGATGAAGACGAGGGACGAAACGACGAGGGACGAGGGAGTCTGCAGGGACGCTGCAAGACACAGAGACACAGATGAAGACGAGGACGAAGACGAGGGACGAGGGACGAGGGAGTCTGCAGGGCTTTTATTTTGTCATTTGGGATTGAAACCGTTTTATTTTGAAAGGGCAGATTAAACAGCTCAGTTCCTACAGAGAGAGACTACTTTTATTTTGAAAGGACAGATTAGACAGTGCAGTTCCTACAGAGAGAGGGTAGTTTTATTGTGAAAGGGCAGGTTGAGGGTTTGATTCCCTCACGTGTGGTGACGGTTCCTCTCAGCGCCAGCCCCACGTCGCGCTCGTAAACGGGGAAAATGGAGACGTGGTACAGAGTCTGAGACGACAGGTTCTGCAGGAGGACGGAGGAGGAGGAGCCTGGTACCACCACCTGAAACAGAACACACACCACACGTCAGATCTGCGGAGAGGCAAGCACCAGACCAGCACCGGAACTGAAAGAAAGAACAGAAAAGATCAAAACCGCCAACTGTTCTACTGACAAAATATTTAAACACACTACGACAGGTCTACTGGTTTAGTCCTGGTTTAGTAGACCTGGTTTAGTAGACCTGGTTTAGTCCTGGTTTAGTTGGTTTAGACCTGGTTTAGTCCTGGTTTAGTCCTGGTTTAGACCTGGTTTTAGTCCTGGTTTTAGTCTGGTTTAGTCCCTGGTTTAGTCCTGGTTTAGACCTGGTTTTTAGTCCTGGTTTAGACTGGTTTAGTCCTGGTTTAGTCCTGGTCTAGTCCTGGTTTAGTCCTGGTTTAGTCCTGGTTTAGATCCTGGTTTTAGTCCTGGTTTAGTCCTGGTTTAGTCCTGGTTTAGTCCTGGTCTAGTCCTGGTTTAGTCCTGGTTTAGTCCTGGTTTAGTCCTGGTGGTCTAGTTCTGGTTTAGTCCTGGTTTAGTCCTGGTTTAGTCCTGGTTTAGTCCTGGTTTAGTCCTGGTTAGTCCTGGTTTAGTCCTGGTTTAGTCCTGGTTTAGTCCTGGTTTTAGTCCTGGTTAGTCCTGGTTTAGGTCGTCCTGGTTTAGTCTGGTTTAGTCCTGGTTTACGTCCTGGTTTAGTCCTGGTTTAGTCCTGGTCTAGTCCTGGTTTAGTCCTGGTCTAGTCCTGGTTTAGTCCTGGTTTAGTCCTGGTTTAGTCCTGGTTTAGTCCTGGTTTAGTCCTGGTTTAGTCCTGGTTTAGTCCTGGTTTCGTCCTGGTTTTAGTCCTAGTCCTGGTTTAGTCCTGGTTTAGTCCTGGTCTAGTCCTGTTTAGTCCTGGTTTAGTCCTGGTTTAGTCCTGGTTTAGTCCTGGTTTTCCAGTCCTCGTCCTGGTTTAGTCCTGGTTAGTCCTAGTCCTGGTTTTTCGTCCTGGTTTAGTCTGTCTAGTCCTGGTTTAGTCCTGGTTTCCTGGTTTAGTCCTGGTTTAGTCCTGGTCTAGTCCTGGTTTCGTCCTGGTTCGTCCTGGTTTAGTCCTGGTTTTAGTCCTGGTTTAGTCCTTTAGTCCTGGTTAGTCCTAGTCCTGGTCCTGTTAGTCCTGGTTCGTGGTCTAGTCTGGTTTAGTCCTGGTCTAGTCCTGGTTTCGTCCTGTTTAGTCCTGGTTTAGTCCTGGTTTAGTCCTGGTTTAGTCCTGGTTTAGTCCTGGTTTAGTCCTGGTTTAGTCCTGGTTTAGTCCTGGTCTAGTCCTGGTTTTAGTCCTGGTTAGTCCTGGTTAGTCCTGGTTTAGTCCTGGTTTAGTCCTGTCTAGTCCTAGTCCTGGTCTAGTCCTGGTTTAGTCCTGGTAGTTAGTCCTGGTTTAGTCCTGGTTTAGTCCTGGTTTAGTCCTGACCTCTTGTGGGTTCTGACTCTCTGCGCTGTGATACACGACTCTGTACTGCTGCACGTTGGCGTTGGCGTGAGGTCGGGGGCGGGTCCAGTGCAGCCGGACGCTCCGGGACTCGAGTTCGGAGAAGCGCAGGTCCGTGGGGCTCGGCAGGTCCGGGTCTGGACCGGGATCTGGACCGGGATCTGGACCGGGGTCTGGACCGGGGTCTGCGCTTTGGTCTGAACTCGTGTCTAGACCAGGATCTCGGCCTGGGTCCGGTCTGGGGGGGGCCAGAGGAGGGGTGGGGTCTGGCTCCACACCTGCGACAGACAGGAGCACGACAGACAGTGAGAGTGACAGGTGAGTGACAGAGTGAATGACAGGTGAATGAGTGACAGGTGAGTGACAGGTGACGGACAGGTGATGGATAAGTGAGTGACAGGTGAGTGACAGGTGAGGGACAGGTGAGTGCAGAGTGTGAGGGACAGGTGAGTGACAGGTGACAGACAGGTGAGGTGACAGGTGACAGGTGAGGACAAGGTGAGTGACAGGTGACGGACAGGTGAGTGACAGGTGACAGACAGGTGAGGACAGACAGGTGAGTGACAGGTGAGGGACAGGTGAGTGACAGGTGACAGACAGGTGAGGGACAGGTGAGAGACAGGTGAGGGACAGGTGAGAGACAGGTGAGTGACAGGTGAGGGACAGGTGAGTGACAGGTGAGAGACAGGTGAGTGACAGGTGACAGACAGGTGACAGGTGAGTGACAGGTGAGTGACAGGTGACAGGTGACAGACAGGTGAGTGACAGGTGACAGGTGAGGGACAGGTGAGGGACAGGTGACAGGTGACAGTGAATGACAGGTGAGACAGTGACAGGTGAGTGACAGGGACAGGTGACAGTGAGGACAGGTGAGGACAGACAGGTGACAGACAGGTGAGTGACAGTGACAGGTGAGTGACAGGTGACAGACAGGTGACAGGTGACAGGTGACAGGTGACAGGTGAAGACAGGTGAGTGACAGGTGACAGACAGGTGAGTGACAGGTGAGGGACAGGTGAGTGACAGGTGAGGGACAGGTGAGTGACAGGTGATGACAGGTGACAGGTGAGTGACAGGTGAGTGACAGGTGAGAGACAGGTGAGTGACAGGTGAATGACAGGTGAGTGACAGGTGACAGACAGGTGAGTGACAGGTGACAGACAGGTGAGTGACAGTGACAGGTGAGTGAGGACAGGTGAGAGACAGGTGAGGACAGGTGAGTGACAGGTGACAGGAACAGTGACAGGTGACAGGGACAGACAGGTGACAGGTGAGACAGGTGAGTGACAGGTGAGAGTGACAGGTGGACAGGTGAGTGACAGGTGAAGGGACACAGGTGACAGTGACAGGTGACAGACAGGTGAGGGACAGGTGACAGACAGGTGAGTGACAGGTGAGTGACAGGGAAGTGAGTGACAGGTGACAGACAGGTGAGTGACAGGTGACAGTGGTGACAGGTGACAGACAGGTGAGGGACAGGTGACAGGGGACAGGTGAGACAGGTGAGTGACAGTGAGTGACAGGTCAGTGACAGACAGGTGACAGACAGGTGATACTTAAAAACTCTTGGGTATAAACAGTAACACATGTCACTCTCTGTGCTGAGTCCCTCCCCCTTCAGAGCATCACACTCACACTGATGAAACTCCTGCACATCAGTTTGTCCAGTTGTTGTGTTCAGTTTTGTGTTGTGTTTTTGTGTTTTTATGGAGAGTTGTGATGTGGGAGCCTGGGGGGCGGAGCCTCGTACAAGAGGTGTGGCTTGTACTGCAAACTGTAATGTCTTATTTTAATGTTCATTCTCTGTATAAAGTGTGACTCACGTTTGGCGTTTGGCGTTGCTGCGCTCGTGGATTCGCACACACAGGATGGTGCACGAGGCGAGACACCAGTTTACTGAGGAGGGGGAAGTCGTTGACGTTGTACATGTTTAACTCCTCTGGACCCGACGCCACCTGCAGCAGCTCCGCCTCGTCCGCGTTCTTCACTCCTGAAACCGCGTCACATCAGAGAGTCACCGCCGCTCTACTAGCCCCGCCCCCTCTCCCGGCCCCGCCCCCTCCCGTACCCACGGCGATGATCTCGGCGCCGCTGTTCTTCAGTTTGGTGGCGGCTGAAATGGCGTCGTCCTGAGATTTTCCGTCGGTCAGAAGAATCAGGAACAGAGGAACGTCCGAGCGCCTTCCAGACGCCGCCGTCATACTGTGCTCCATCACGTGAAGAAGAGAGCCTGACCTGCAACACACACCCCACGTCACATCTGGACGGAGACAGACAGACAGAGGGAACATCTGGACAGAGACAGAGGGAACATCTGGGACAGAGACAGAACAGAGGGAACAGAGACATCTGGACAGAGACAGAGAGGGAACATCTGGACAGAGACAGAGGGAACTCTGGACAGAGACAGAGACAGAGGGACATCTGGACAGAGACAGAGGGAACATCTGGACAGAGACAGAGAGGAGGGAGCAGAAGAGCAGAAAGAGAGAGGAGCAAACACAGACTGTAGATATCGTGATGAGACGTCGTGACGTCATGGCGTCGTGACGTCGTGGCGTCGTGACGTCGTGGCGTCGTGACGTCGTGGCGTCGTGACGTCGTGACGTCGTGACGTCGTGGCGTCGTGGTCCTCAGCGTTTGCTCCAGATGAAGCTGTGATGGACATTTCTCCTGTGGAAACATCTCAGTGGGTTTTTGTGACGTCCACATGTGACCAGAGCCTCTTCCACATGTGTAAAGACCCAGTGTGACGTTCTCCACCCTCAGGAAACTCACTGCCGTCTTAAGGTCGTTTTATATTTCTGCATGGACTCCTGGTTTAGTCCTGGTTTAGACCTGGTTTTAGTCCTGGTTTACCTGGTTTACCTGGTTTAGTCCTGGTTTAGTAGGTTTAGTCCTGTTTAGTCTGGTTTAGTCTGTCCTGGTTTAGTCTGGTTTAGACCTGTTTAGTCCTGGTTTAGTCCTGGTTTTAGGTTTAGTCCTGGTTTAGACCTGGTTTAGTCCTGTTTAGACCTGGTTTAGTCCAGTTTTATTCCTGGTTTAGTCCTGGTTTAGACCTGGTTTAGACCTGGTTTAGACCTGGTTTAGGACCTGGTTTAGTCCTGGTTTTAGTCCTGGTTTAGTCTGGTTTACTTTAGTCCTGGTTTTTCTTTTAGTCCTGGGTTTAGTCCTGGCTGGTTAGTCCTGGTCCTGGTTGTTTAGTCCTGGTTTACCTGGTCCTGTTTAGTCCTGGTTTAGTCTGGTTTCAGTCCTGGTTTAGTCCTGGTTTAGTCCTGGTTTAGTCCTGGTTTAGTCCTGGTTTAGTCCTGGTTTAGTCCTGGTTTAGTCCTGGTTTAGTCACTCTGATTTGAAACGTGTGTCACTTATTTCTTTTTAAAAACTCAGAGTTCAGATGTTTCTGTTTTCCTAAAATTCATCAATTTCACAAATAAATTAATTATTTATTTTTTTTCTTCAGGATCTATATTTTTTTCATAGATTCCAGTTGTTTGGAGCAAATTTGGAGTTCCATATTTTTCTGACCATGAGTATCATAGCAACCAACGAGCCAATCAGGAGCGAGACTGTAGATCACAGGTGTCAAACATGTGGCCTGGGGGCCAGATCCGGCCCTCCAAGACCTTTATTCTGGCCCTCAGCTGATTTTCTACTAAATATTTTAATTCTATTTTTTATTAAAATGGTTGTTAATTTTGTGTGGTGTTTATCACAGCAGCGTCTCCAGCGTCTCTGTACGTGGCCCCTCCCACCAGAGTCTCTGTACGTGGCCCCTCCCACCAGAGCAGCACAAATGAAGACTTGTCTCTTTCCAAACGTCTTAAAGGACGATGGTTTTGACTGTTGACCGTGACACCCTCATCAGAAAAATGTCCAACATGAGAAAAGTGGAGCCGAGTGCCAGGATTTTACAACAAAATGAACTTATTCTGTTTACAGACAAGTTCATGTTCAAAACTTTGTGTTGAAATTGTATTTTTCTTCAAGTTTCAGGTTGTTCATAATATTATAATATTTTGTAAAAGAAAGAGTTCATCAATTCAAAAAGATTTGTGTAATAGATTTGTGTTTCTCTGCACAAATATTTGAACTTCTTGTTATTTTTGGGGTTTATATGACATGAGTTTTCTGATCCGGACACTTTGGATCAAAGTCGGTTGGACTCGACCCCCGGAACAACATGAGTTGGACTCTTCTGCTGTAGAGGGTAACGCCCCCTCCTGCCCGCACCACTGGTTTAAACGCTGTCAATCAAACCTGTTGCTAACGGTAGTGGGAGGGGCCTCGGGGGGAGAGAAGGCGCCTGATTGGTCGGTTCTTAATGTTCAGATCTGGATTTGGGACAAACTGTTGAAAGCCCCGAGCGGTGAGAGAGAAGATCCTGGAGCAGCAGGTCCAGAGGGAAGAGTGAGGAGCTTTTACACACAAACTGAGCTGGAGCCAGAGTCCGTGGAGCCCGGTCGCAGCCGCGCTCACTTCCTGTGGTCGGACGTCGGGTTCTCACCTGTGAACGTGTTTCCTCCCTTGTATCTGAAGCTGCGCACGGCCTCCAGCAGATCCTCCTTCTGCGTGAAGTTGTTCAGGTTCCACTCGGTTCTGGGGTCGGAGCTGTACTGGGTCAGACCTGCACACAAACATCAGAACATCAGAACATCAGAACATCAGAACATCAGAACATCAGAACATCAGAACAACAGAACAACAGAACACAAGACATCAGAATCAGAACAACAGAACAGAAACAACAGAACATCAGAACATCAGACAGAACAATCAGAACACATCAGAACATCAGAACATCAGAACATAGAACACCAGAACATCAGAACATCAGAACATCAGAACAACAGAACATCAGAACATCAGAACATCAGAACATCAGAACAACAGAACATCAGAACATCAGAACAACAGAACATCAGAACAACAGAACATCAGAACATCAGAACATCAGAACAACAGAACATCAGAACATCAGAACAACAGAACATCAGACATCAGAAACACAGAACATCAGAACATCAGAACAACAGAACATCAGAACATCAGAACAGAACATCAGAACATCAGAACACAGAACAATCAGAACATCAGAACATCAGAACAGAACATCAGAACACAGAACATCAGAACATCAGAACGAGTTCCACCTTATGATGTCATCATGTGGTGATACAGGAAGTGCTCCACTGTGTTTTTAAACTCCACACTTCACCTTCACTAGAATCACCTGGAACATTTCAGTCGTGGAGTCGCCAAATCTGGACTGAACTACAGAGAAAAGGAAACGACCATTCATGATTCACAAGGTGGAACTGGTTTAGTTTAAGTCCTGGTTTAGTTCTGGTTTAGTTCTGGTTTAGTCCTGGTTTAGTCTGGTTTTAGTCCTGGTTTAGCTGGTTTAGTTCTGGTTTAGTCCTGGTTTAGTCCTGGTTTGGTTTCAGTCCTGGTTTAGTTCTGGTTTTAGTCCTGGTTTAGTCCTGGTTTAGTTAGTCCTGGTTTAGTTCTGGTTTAGTTCTGGTTTAGTCCTGGTTAGTTGGTTTAGTCCTGGTTTAGTTCCTGGTTTAGTCCTGGTTTAGTCCTTGTTAGTTCTGGTTTAGTCGGTTTAGTTTTCTGGTTTAGTCCTGGTTTAGTTCTGGTTTAGTTCTGGTTGTGTAAATGAAACAAACACAGGTCTGTTTGAGGAGGAACATTAGAAGATTAGAACATTGGAACATTAGAAGATTAGAACATTGGAACATTAGAAGATTAGAACATTGGAACATTAGAAGATTAGAACATTGGAACATTAGAAGATGGATTAAAGCTTCAGGAGGTTTTAGATCAAACGGTGTCTGACCGATCTGGACGTGTTTGGGTCCGATGTGGAACGGGACCATCAGAGCCTCCAGAAAGTCTCGCACTCGTCTGAAGTTTGTGCGTCCGATGCTCCAGGAACCGTCCACCAGGACAAGATGTCGGCCGCCGCGTCGCCGTGGCAGCGGAACGGCCGTCGAACCCACGGACCTGAGGGACAAAGAACGAGAAGCTCAGGAAAATGGAAGATCATTTGTTCCATCAGATTTTAATTTTAAATATTGTTGAATTTCTCACTTTGAATTTTTTAACTTTGAAAAAAACATGTTTGATTATCTTCATCTGATTGACTTTTAAGTGAAATCTTCAGTGTCAAATTCAAAACTAAAATATTCAGCACAAATATTTTCAAGCCTCAAATCATAAAACAGAGATTAAAACCAGTGTGAAATTCACAGACACTAAACCAGGACTAAACCAGAACTACTAAACCAGGAACTAAACCAGGACTAAACCAGGACTAAACCAGGACTAAACCAGGACTAAACCAGGACTAAACCAGGTCTAAACCAGACTAAACCAGAGGTCTAAACCAGGAGGTCTAAACCCAGGACTAAAACCTAAACCAAACTAAACCAGGTCTAAACCAGGTCTAAACCAGGACTAAACCAGGACTAAACCAGGACTAAAACCAGGAACTAAACCAGGACCTAACCAGGACTAAACCACTAAACAGGACTAAACCAGGAAGCTAAACCAGGTCTAAACCAGGTCTAAAACCAAACTAAACCAGGACTAAACAGGACTAAAACCAGGACTAAACCAGACTAAACCAGGACTAAACCAGGACTAAAACCAGGCTAAACCAGAACTAAACCAGGACTAAACCAGGACTAAACCAGGTAAACCAGGTCTAAACCAGTCTGAAACCAGGACAGGACTAAACCAGGACTAAACCAGGACTAAACCAGACTAAAACCAGGACTAAACCAGGACTAAACCAGGTCTAAACCAGGTCTAAACCAGGACTAAACCTGACTAAACCAGGACTAAACAGGACTTTTAATCTTTTGTGGAGTTTCTTTTTATCAATAATTTGGAGTTTGGACTTTTTATTTCTTTTATCAGACAAAACTTCTTATGTGAAGATTTCCTCGTCTTTGTTTCTCTACACAAATCAAGTAATCCAAAGTAATCAGATTACATTACTCACTTTAAGTTCATTTAATGGATTTCTGTTACAAACTACATTTTGGGGTGAGTAATCTGTAATCTGTAGAAAAAAAACCTAATATACAGTGTTGGGAAGTTACTTTTCAAATGTAATCCCCTACAGATTACAGATTACTCACACCAAAATGTAGTTTGTAACAGAATCCATTAAATTACTTAAAGTGAGTAATGTAATCTGATTACTTTGGATTACTTGATTTGTTGTAGAGAAACAAAGACGAGGAAATCTTCACATAAGAAGTTTTGTCTGATAAAAGAAAATAAAAAGTCCAAACTTTACTGAACCAAATTAAAAATATTATTGATAAGAAGACGAAGAAAAACACGTCCACACAGCAGGATTTAGTCTGGTCTCCTGGTTTAGTCCTGGTTTAGTCCTGGTTTAGTCCTGGTTTAGACCTGGTTAGACCTGGTTTAGTCCTGGTTTAGACCTGGTTTAGTCTGGGTTTAGTCCTGGTTTAGTCCTGGTTTAGACCTGGTTCAGACCTGGTTTAGTTTCTGGTTTAGTCCTGGTTTAGTCCTGGTTTAGTCCTGGTTTAGTGGTTCTGGTTTAGTCGTTAGTCCTGGTTTAGTCCTGTTTAGACCTGGTTCTGGTTTTCAGACCTGGTTTAGTCTGGTTTAGACCTGGTTTAGTCCTGGTTAGTTCCTGGTTTAGTCCTGGTTTCCTGGTTAGACCTGGTTTAGACCTGGTTTAGTCCTTTTAGTCCTGGTTTAGTCCTGGTTTAGTCTGGTTTAGTCCTGTTTAGTCCTGGTTTAGACCTGGTTTAGTTTAGTCCTGTTTTAGTCCCTGGTTTAGTCCTGGGACCTGTTTAGTCTGGTTTAGACCTGGTTCAGACCTGTTTAGTCCTGTTTTAGACCTGTTTAGTCCTGGTTTCCTGGTTTAGTTCCTGGTTTAGTCCTGGTTTAGACCTGGTTTCCTGGTTTACCTGGTTTACCTGGTTTAGTCCTGGTTTAGTCTTGGTTTAGTTCTGGTTTAGACCTGGTTTAGACCTGGTTTAGTTCTGGTTTAGACCTGGTTTAGTTCTGGTTTAGTTCTGGTTTAGTTCTGGTTTAGTCCTGGTTTAGTCCTGGTTTAGTTCTGGTTTAGACCTGGTTTAGACCTGGTTTGTCCTGGTTTAGACCTGTTTAGTTTGGTTTAGTTTCTGGTTTAGTTCTGGTTTAGTCCTGGTTTAGTGTCTGTGAAATTTCACACTGCGAATTTTAATCTCTGAATTTTATTATTGAATTTGAGGCTTGAAAATATTTGTGCTGAATATTTTAGTTTTGAATTTGACACTGAAGATTTCACTTAAAAGTCAAATTCAGAATGAAGATAATTCAAACATGTTTTTTCAAAGTTAAAAAATTCAAAGTGAGAAATTCAACAATATTTAAAATTAAAAATCTGATGGAACAAATGATCTTCCATTTTCCTGAGCTTCTCGTTCTTCTGTCCCTCAGGTCCGTGGGTTCGACGGCCGTTCCGCTGCCACGGCGACGCGGCGGCCGACATCTTGTTCCTGGTGGACGGTTCCTGGAGCATCGGACGCACAAACTTCAGACGAGTGCGAGACTTTCTGGAGGCTCTGATGGTCCCGTTCCACATCGGACCCAAACACGTCCAGATCGGTCAGACACCGTTTGATCTAAAACCTCCTGAAGCTTTAATCCATCTTCTAATGTTCCAATGTTCTAATCTTCTAATGTTCCAATGTTCTAATCTTCTAATCTTCTAATGTTCCAATGTTCTAATAAACCAGAACTTCTAACTTCTAACTCTCCTAATGAACTTCCTCCTCAAACAGACCTGTGTTTGTACACAACAGAACTACTAAACCAGAGACTAAACCAGGACTAAACCAGGACTAAACCAGAACTAAACCAGACTAAACCAGGACTAAACCAGGACTAAACCAGGAACTAAACCAGGACTAAACCAGGACTAAACCAGACTAAACCAAACTAAACCAGAACTAAACCAGGAACTAAACCAGAACTAAACCAGACCAGGACTAAACCAGGACTAAACCAGGACTAAACCAGACTAAAACCAGGACTAAACCAGGAACTAAACCAGGACTAAACCAGACTAAACCAGACTAAACCAGGACTAAACCAGGACTAAACCAGAAACTAAACCAGAACTAAACCAGAACTAAACTAAACCAGGACTAAACCAGAACTAAACCAGAACTAAACAGGACTAAACCAGGAACTAAACCAGGACTAAACCAGAACTAAAACCAGAACTACTAAACCAGAAACCAGGACTAAACCAGAACTAAACCAGAGGACTAAACCAGGACTAAACCAGAACTAAACCAGAACTAAACAGGACTAAACAGGACTAAACCAGAAACTAAACCAGAACTAAACCAGAACTAAACCAGGACTAAACCAGGACTACTAAACCAGAACTAAACCAGAGGACTAAACCAGGACTAAACCAGGACTAAACCAGGACTAAACCAGAAACTAAACCAGGACTAAAACTAAACCAGAACTAAACCAGACTAAACCAGGACTAAACCAGGACTAAACCAGGACTAACCAGGACTAAACCAGGACTAAACCAGAACTAAACCAAGGACTAAACCAGGACTAAACCAGGACTAAACCAAACTAAACCAGGAACTAAACCAGGACTAAACCGACTAAACCAGAACTAAACCAGGACTAAACCAGAACTAAACCAGGACTAAACCAGAACTAAACCAGGACTAAATTAAACCAGTTCCACCTTGTGATGTCATGAAGTGGTCGTTTCCTTTTCTCTGTAGTTCAGTCCAGATTTGGCGACTCCACGACTGAAATGTTCCAGGTGATTCTAGTGAAGGTGAAGTGTGGAGTTTAAAAACACAGTGGAGCACTTCCTGTATCACCACATGATGACATCATAAGGTGGAACTCGTTCTGATGTTCTGATGTTCTGATGTTCTGATGTTCTGATGTTCTGTTGTTCTGATGTTCTGATGTTCTGATGTTCTGATGTTCTGATGTTCTGATGTTCTGATGTTCTGATGTTCTGATGTTCTGATGTTCTGATGTTCTGTTGTTCTGATGTTCTGATGTTCTGATGTTCTGATGTTCTGATGTTCTGATGTTCTGATGTTCTGGTTGTGATGTTCTGTCTGATGTTCTGATGTTCTGGTGTTCTGGTGTTCTGATGTTCTGATGTTCTGTTGTTCTGATGTTCTGATGTTCTGATGTTCTGATGTTCTGGTGTTCTGGTGTTCTGATGTTCTGATGTTCTGTTGATGTTCTGTTGTTCTGTGTTCTGATGTTTGCTGATGTTCTGATGTTCTGATGTTCTGATGTTCTGATGTTCTGTTGTTCTGATGTTCTGATGTTCTGTTGTTCTGATGTTGTTCTGAATGTTCTGTTGTTCTGATGTTTTGATGTTCTGTTGTTCTGATGTTTGATGTTCTGATGTTGTTCTGTTTGTTCTGATGTTCTGTTGTTCTGATGTTCTGTTGTTGATGTTCTGATGTTCTGTTCTGTTGTTCTGATGTTCTGATGTTCTGATGTTCTGATGTTCTGATGTTCTGATGTTCTGTTGTTCTGATGTTCTGTTGTTCTGATGTTCTGATGTTCTGATGTTCTGTTGTTTGTGTGCAGGTCTGACCCAGTACAGCTCCGACCCCAGAACCGAGTGGAACCTGAACAACTTCACGCAGAAGGAGGATCTGCTGGAGGCCGTGCGCAGCTTCAGATACAAGGGAGGAAACACGTTCACAGGTGAGAACCCGACGTCCGACCACAGGAAGTGAGCGCGGCTGCGATCGGGCTCCACGGACTCTGGCTCCAGCTCAGTTTGTGTGTAAAAGCTCCTCACTCTTCCCTCTGGACCTGCTGCTCCAGGATCTTCTCTCTCACCGCTCGGGGCTTTCAACAGTTTGTCCCAAATCCAGATCTGAACATTAAGAACCGACCAATCAGGCGCCTTCTCTCCCCCCGAGGCCCCTCCCACTACCGTTAGCAACAGGTTTGATTGACAGCGTTTAAACCAGTGGTGTGGGCAGGAGGGGGCGTTACCCTCTACAGCAGAAGAGTCCAACTCATGTTGTTCCGGGGGTCGAGTCCAACCGACTTTGATCCAAAGTGTCCGGATCAGAAACTCATGTCATATAAACCCCAAAAATAACAAGAAGTTCAAATATTTGTGCAGAGAAACACAAATCTATTACACAAATCTTTTTGAATTGATGAACTCTTTCTTTTACTAAATATTATAATATTATGAACAACCTGAAACTTGAAGAAAAATACAATTTCAACACAAAGTTTGAACATGAACTTGTCTGTAAACAGAATAAGTTCATTTTTGTTGTAAAATCCTGCACTCGGCTCCACTTTTCTCATGTTGGACATTTTTCTGATGAGGGTGTCACGGTCAACAGTCAAAACCATCGTCCTTTAAGAGCGTTTGGAAAGAGACAAGTCTTCATTTGTGCTGCTCTGGTGGGAGGGGCCACGTACAGAGACTCTGGTGGGAGGGGCCACGTACAGAGACGCTGGAGACGCTGCTGTGATAAACACCACACAAAATTAACAACATTTTAATAAAAAATAGAATTAAAATATTTAGTAGAAAATCAGCTGAGGGCCAGAATAAAGGTCTTGGAGGGCCGGATCTGGCCCCCAGGCCACATGTTTGACACCTGTGATCTACAGTCTCGCTCCTGATTGGCTCGTTGGTTGCTATGATACTCATGGTCAGAAAAATATGGAACTCCAAATTTGCTCCAAACAACTGGAATCTATGAAAAAAATATAGATTCTGAAGAAAAAAAATAAATAATTAATTTATTTGTGAAATTGATGAATTTTAGGAAAACAGAAACATCTGAACTCTGAGTTTTTAAAAGAAATAAGTGACTAAACCAGGACACGTTTCAAATAAACCAGGACTAAACCGGACTAAACCAGGACTAAACCAGGACTAAACCAGGACTAAACCAGGACTAAACCAGGACTAAACCAGGACTAAACCAGGACTAAACCAGGACTAAACCAGGACTAAACCAGGACTAAACCAGGACTAAACCAGGACTAAACCAGGACTAAAAACCAGGACTAAACCAGGACTGAACCAGGACTAAACCAGGACTAAACCAGGACTAAACCAGGACTAAACCAGGACTAAACCAGGACTAAACCAGGACTAAACCAGGACTAACCAGGACTAAACCAGGACTAAACCAGGACTAAACTAAAAAACCAGGTAAACCCTAAACCAGGTCTAAACCAGGACTAAACCAGGAATAAAACTCTAAACCAGGACTAAACCAGGACTAAACCAGGTCTAAACAGGTCTAAACCAGGACTAAACCAGGTCTAAAACCAGGACTAAACCAGGACTAAACCACTAAACCAGGTCTAAACCAGGACTAAACCAGGACTAAACCAAACTAAACCAGGTAAACCAGGACTAAACAGGACTAAAACCAGGACTAAACCAGGACTAAACCAGGTCTAAACCAGGACTAAACTAAACAGGACTAAAACCAGGACTAAACCAGGTCTAAACCAGGTCTAAACCAGGTCTAACCAGGACTAAACCAGGAGTCCATGCAGAAATATAAAACGACCTTAAGACGGCAGTGAGTTTCCTGAGGGTGGAGAACGTCACACTGGGTCTTTACACATGTGGAAGAGGCTCTGGTCACATGTGGACGTCACAAAAACCCACTGAGATGTTTCCACAGGAGAAATGTCCATCACAGCTTCATCTGACGAGCACGACGTCACGACGTCCACGACGCGTCACGACGTCACGGCGTCACGACGCCACGACGTCACGACGTCACGACGTCACTCTGATCTATGATACAGTCTGTGTTTGCTCTCTGTCTCTCTGTCTCTGTCTCTGTCCAGATGTCTGTTCTGTCTCTGTCCAGATGTTCCCTCTGTCTCTGTCCAGATGTTCCCTCTGTCTCTGTCTCTGTCCAGACTGTCTCTCCCTGTCCTGTCTCTGTCTCTGTCCAGATGTTCCCTCTGTCTCTGTCCAGATGTTTCCCTCTGTCTCTGTCCAGATGTTCTCCTCTGTCTGTCTCTGTCCAGATGTTCCCTCTGTCTCTGTCCAGATGTTCCCTCTGTCTCTGTCCAGATGTTCCCTCTGTCTCTGTCCAGATGTTCCCTCTGTCTCTGTCCAGATGTTCCCTCTGTCTCTGTCTCCGTCCAGATGTGACGTGGGGGTGTGTGTTGCAGGTCAGGCTCTTCTTCACGTGATGGAGCACAGTATGACGGCGGCGTCTGGAAGGCGCTCGGACGTTCCTCTGTTCCTGATTCTTCTGACCGACGGAAAATCTCAGGACGACGCCATTTCAGCCGCCACCAAACTGAAGAACAGCGGCGCCGAGATCATCGCCGTGGGTACGGGAGGGGGCGGGGCCGGGAGAGGGGGGCGGGGCTAGTAGAGCGGCGGTGACTCTCTGATGTGACGCGGTTTCAGGAGTGAAGAACGCGGACGAGGCGGAGCTGCTGCAGGTGGCGTCGGGTCCAGAGGAGTTAAACATGTACAACGTCAACGACTTCCCCCTCCTCAGTAAACTGGTGTCTCGCCTCGTGCACATCCTGTGTGTGCGAATCCACGAGCGCAGCAACGCCAACGCCAAACGTGAGTCACACTTTATACAGAGAATGAACATTAAAATAAGACATTACAGTTTGCAGTACAAGCCACACCTCTTGTACGAGGCTCCGCCCCCCAGGCTCCCACATCACAACTCTCCATAAAAACACAAAAAACACAACACAAAACTGAACACAACAACTGGACAAACTGATGTGCAGGAGTTTCATCAGTGTGAGTGTGATGCTCTGAAGGGGGAGGGACTCAGCACAGAGAGTGACATGTGTTACTGTTTATACCCAAGAGTTTTTAAGTATCACCTGTCCCTCACCTGTCACTCACCTGTCTCTCACCTGTCACACCTGTCAACCTGTCTCTGTCCCTCACCTGTCTGTCACCTGTCACCTGTCCTCACTGTCACTCACCTGTCCCTCACCTGTCACTCACCTGTCTGTCACCCTGTCCACTCACCTGTCACTCACCTGACCTGTCTGTCACCTGTCATCACCTGTCTCTGTCACCTGTCCCTCACCTGTCTGTCACCTGTCCCTCACCTGTCTGTCACTGTCACCTGTCTGTCACTCACCTGTCTCACCTGTCACTCACCTGTCTGTCACCTGTCCTTCACCTGTCTGTCACCTGTCACCTGTCCTGTCACCTGTCACCTGTCACTGTCACCTGTCCCTCACCTGTCTGTCACCTGTCACACCTGTCTTCACCTGTCACTCACCTGTCCCTCACCTGTCTCTCACTGTCACTCACCTGTCACTGTCCTCACCTTCCTCTCTGTCACCTGTCACCTGTCCCTCACCTGTCTGTCACCTGTCACTCACCTGTCTCTCACCTGTCACTCACCTGTCCCTCACCTGTCCTCTCACCTGTCACTCACCTGTCCCTCACCTGTCACTCACCTGTCCCTCACCTGTCACTCACCTGTCTGTCACCTGTCACTCACCTGTCTGTCACCTGTCACTCACCTGTCCGTCACCTGTCTGTCACCTGTCTCACCTGTCGTCACCTGTCTGTCACCTGTCCTCACCTGTCTGTCACCTGTCACTCACCTGTCTGTCACCTGTCCCTCACCTGTCTGTCACCTGTCACTCACCTGTCTCTCACCTGTCCCTCACCTGTCACTCACTGTCCCACCTGTCACCTGTCATCACCTGTCCTGTCACCTGTCACACCTGTCCTGTCACCTGTCACCTGTCCCTCACCTGTCCTGTCTGTCACCTGTCACCTCCCTGTCACTGTCACTGTCTGTCACCTGTCCCTCACCTGTCACCTGTCACCTGTCTCACCTGTCCTCACCTGTCTGTCACCTGTCCCTCACCTGTCCTCACCTGTCCTGTCACCTGTCCCTCACCTGTCTGTCACCTGTCACTCACCTGTCTGCCTCTCACCTGTCACTCACCTGTCACTCACCCCTCACCTGTCACTCACCTGTCCCTCTCACCTGTCACCTGTCACCTGTCACCTGTCACTCACCTGTCCCTCACCTGTCACTCACCTGTCTCTCACCTGTCCCTCACCTGTCTGTCACCTGTCACTCACCTGTCACTGTCACCTGTCACTGTCACCTGTCTCACCTGTCCCTCACCTGCTCCTGTCACCTGTCACTCACCTGTCCCTCACCTGTCTGTCACCTGTCACTCACCTGTCCCTCACCTGTCCCTCACCTGTCATTAACCTGTCACTCACTTATCCATCACCTGTCCGTCACCTGTCACTCACCTGTTATTCACCTGTCATTCACCTGTCCGTCACCTGTCACTCACCTGTCGTGCTCCTGTCTGTCGCAGGTGTGGAGCCAGACCCCACCCCCTCCTCTGGCCCCGCCCCCAGACCGGACCCAGGCCGAGATCCTGGTCTAGACACGAGTTCAGACCAAAGCGCAGACCCCGGTCCAGACCCCGGTCCAGATCCCGGTCCAGATCCCGGTCCAGACCCGGACCTGCCGAGCCCCACGGACCTGCGCTTCTCCGAACTCGAGTCCCGGAGCGTCCGGCTGCACTGGACCCGCCCCCGACCTCCGCCACGCCAACGTGCAGCAGTACAGAGTCGTGTATCACAGCGCAGAGAGTCAGAACCCACAAGAGGTAAACCAGGACTAAACCAGGACTAGACCAGGACTAGACCAGGACTAGACCAGGACTAAACCAGGACTAAACCAGGACTAAACCAGGACTAAACCAGGACTAAACCAGGACAGGACTAAACCAGGACTAAACCAGGACTAACCAGGACTAGACCAGGACTAGACCAGGGCTAACCAGGACTAACCGACTAAACCAGGACTAAACCAGGACTAAACCAGGACTAAACCAGGACTAAACCAGGACTAAACCAGGACAACCAGGACTAAACCAGGACGAAACCTAGACAGGACTAGACCAGGACTAAACCAGGACTAAACCAGGACGAAACCAGGACTAAACCAGGACTAAACCAGGACTAACCAGGACAACCAGGACTAGACCAGGACTAAACCAGGACTAAACCAGGACTAAACCAGGACTAACCAGGACCCAGGAAAACCAGGACTAAACCAGGACTAAACCAGGACTAGGACCAGGACTAAACCAGACGAAACCAGGACTAGACCAGGACTAAACCAGGAACGACTAAACCAGGACTAAAACCAGACCAGGACTAAACCAGGACTAAACCAGGACTAACCAGGGACTAAACCAGGACTAAACCAGCGAAAACCAGGACTAAACCAGGACTAAACCAGGACTAAAAACCAGGAAACCAGGACTAGGACTAAACCAGGACTAAACCAGGACTAACCAGGACTAAACCAGGACTAGGACCAGGACTAAACCAGGACTAAACCAGGACTAAACCAGGACTAAACCAGGACTAACCAGGACTAAACCAGGACTAGGACCAGGACTAAACCAGGACTAAACCAGGACTAACCAGGACTAAACCAGGACTGAACCAGGACTAAACCAGGACTAAACCAGGACTAGACCAGACTAAACCAGACTAAACAGGTCTAAACCAGACTAAACCAGGTCTAAACCAGGCTAAACCAGGACTACCAGGACTAAACCAGGACTAAACCAGGACTAAACCAGGACTAAACCAGGACTAGACCAGGACTAAACCAGGACTAAACCAGGACTAAACCAGGACTAACCAGGACTAAACCAGGACTAACCAGGACTAAACCAGGACTAAACCAGGACTAAACCAGGACTAACCAGGACTAACCAGGACTAACCCAGGACTAAACCAGGACTAAACCAGGACTAAACCAGGTCTAAACAAGGTCTAAACCAGGTCTAAACCAGGACTAAACCAGGACTAAACCAGTCTCTAAACCAGACTAAACCAGGACTAAACCAGGACTAAACCAGGACTAAACCAGGTCTAAACCAGGACTAAACCAGGACTAAACCAGGACTAAACCAGGACTAAACCAGGACTAACGTGCCTGTCGTGTGTTTAAATATTTTGTCAGTAGAACAGTTGGCGGTTTTGATCTTTTCTGTTCTTTCTTTCAGTTCCGGTGCTGGTCTGGTGCTTGCCTCTCCGCAGATCTGACGTGTGGTGTGTGTTCTGTTTCAGGTGGTGGTACCAGGCTCCTCCTCCTCCGTCCTCCTGCAGAACCTGTCGTCTCAGACTCTGTACCACGTCTCCATTTTCCCCGTTTACGAGCGCGACGTGGGGCTGGCGCTGAGAGGAACCGTCACCACACGTGAGG